GGGACATCTAGACAAGCCATAATATTATGCAAACACCACTTTAGTACATTTCACAGCATTGTGCTGTAGTAAGTGATTAGAATTTAATCATATTCACTAATACCTATTTTACTAAATCATTTTTTCAAGAATGTGCCTTTCAAGACCAAGCTTCTGAGACAGAAAATAATCTGAGACCAGGATCCAGCCTTATAGAAGCCATCTTTAACGTGCTATACCATTGTAATTACTCTCCACATATATTTGCAAATGTTTTTGTGAGTTACATGGAAGAAGAACAATTATGGGACACCTTATATAACATTCCAGGTATGAGAAATTTACTATTGGTAAGTGAAGTACTTTATAGATACTGAAATCACCTTGAAAGGTATTTTAAAACTTTCATTGACTCTGGGTTTGCTGAATCTGTTTTCTGTAGAAGTTTATCTTGCATTTTTTTCATTACAGAGGTTTCTGTTGTAGACCATCAGCCATTAGTTCTGTCAAAATTAGTATGCTTGAGGTAAATTATACTTGAAAGAAGCTGAAGAGAAAAATAACATAATAAAGATTATTTTAACATTTAAAAAGTGCTCGATCATAAAGATTCAATTGTTGTTTTTCTTTTTAACTTACAAGAATTTACCAAGATGGGAAAATATTTTGTACATCTTTGCCACATTTCTTTAACACACCAATGGAATAAACTGCTGATCATTTTTCTTGACATATAACGCATCCATTGTTATGATCATAGCATCTTTTTTTAGTCAAGACAAGCACATTCTATCGTTCCTTTAGCGGCAGTGTGTTGTTCTTGATCTCTGCTGTTTGTCAGCTTTCAGTTAGACAGGATGTGAAGGACAGCGATTGCACATCAGAACAGGAGGTGCTGATGGGCACCCCACATTCAGGCCAGGCAGAGGTTTTCACGTACAATCCCACATATATCTGTATTTAATATCCTGAGAAGACAAAGAATGAGAATCCAGGTAGATACTATTATCATTGTCCTTTTACTCCATTCATCACTTATGCCTGGCTTTCCACCTATAAGCTTTCTTGTACACACTCTGTTTTGGACCAGCATTTTATTTTATTTTATTTTTTATTTTTTGGGAAAGTACAAAGAGACCAACTTTATTAATAACTATGAATTATTGAATTCTTAACGTATTCTAACTTACTTATGAATAGCACTTTTTGTCATGAAAAAGTTTGTCAGCTGTTGTTTAAAATGTATGACATTGACATGAACAAATAAACTTTCATTTTAAAATCTATTCTGATCATAACTAAAGTGAATGCCTATTACTATGCATGATATCTTCCAGTCATTTTTTTTTTTACATTTTAAAGTTTCTAATACTAGGAGAATATATCATATGATATCATTTAAATAAATTGTAAGACAAAGATACAGTATAAATCTTAGAACAAAAATTAAGATTAAGCAATATTCAGAAAGTTAAATACTAATTAATTAAAAATTAAATGTTTCAAAACAATTGAACTAAGAAAAACTTTTCATGATAGCAAAGACGTACTAAGAGTAAAACATAAGATAAATACTGGAATGGCAAGTAAATGACCAGCACTTCTAACAGTTTGAGGA